AGCTGTCAGTTATGTTAAATGGAAATTGCCAACTTCCACAATAATTAACAATAATTACATTGTTATCTTACTTCCCTAACCTACATTACTGGTTGCCTTTGTTAGAAAACCTTGGAACAGTCAAGCTCAGTTGCCTCAAACGCTGTCAGAGACTTTTTGTTGACAATACTTTTAGTAGAAATTTCATGCCTTAGACGAACAAATTCAACAACTAATTAATCTTTCTTTTTTCATGATTGTTGTTGCTGCTTTTTTTCAGTTTTTTGCTCTATTTTCATGACTAATTGCTGTAATTTGTTTTGCTGTTTTTCTTCTTACAAAACATTTTTGTAAGAGTTCCAATACTTGTGGATCATCCACACACTTTGCAAACATTTGGCATGCAGACAAGACAGAGGTAGTCAATGTACCCTTTGAGGAAAAACACCTTTTATATGACGTCTTCAATTTACTTTATTTGAAACTCTGATCTGAAAATATTTGTCAACAAGATTTGTTAGTAGTGAGAAGTACCAACCAAGTTTCCTTTCATAACTTAATTTCTTAAATGTCCCAATCACTGGATCTCCCAAAAAAATATTACATCTTTTTATTTTTGGTACAAATTACAAGTCCTTCTTTATATAAAAATGAAAAGTGCTAGTCACACTTCAGTAATAACAGCTCTTAAGTTTACTTGTTGTTCTTCTCTGTCTGTCAGCTATCAACAAAATTGTTTTATACTTCGGGCAGTGCATAACTATTTGTGGACCAGAGTTCCAACGCACCTCTGTAATCGCATATAGCTACTCCTGTCTCTTGTACAAATGTTTCTCCTTTGTAAGACGCACTCTACTCTGTTGTCAATACTGCTTTAAGTTCAGTGGAAACGACTGACTGAGGAATCGAGATGGCGGCGTTGGAACGTGTTGCTGAACGCTTGCTACGGTCAAGCTTTGTAGATTTAGATACTGGTACACTGGGATCATCTATGTATCTCTTACACTTCCGAATGTGGTATCCTTCTTTTATAAATATGAGGGTAAAAGACGATTTGTAGTCGCATTCAAAACTGTGATTGGCTTGTGTTATTTCTCACCTTTGCCATTAACACAACTCAAGTGAGTTTCGAGTCTTTGTTTCCTCGACAACTTTCGGCCACAAATCGTGCATTTGTAATACGATCGATTCTTGTCGATTATTTCTACATAGAGTGAGCTCACATTTTTATTTATATCACCAAGCTATCCTTCTTCTAGAAGCAGAGAACCGGTCGGAGAAGTCAAAATAAAGTTGGGCGCTTCTCTTAACACTGCAATCGGCAAGTCAGCGGATTCACTTTGCTAGCCAATGACAAGTCCTAAAAGATCCACGTGATAATGCCGGTGATCGGAAACAAAGAAGACTCCATTTGGCGCTCATCTTTGAATGTACTTTTCATCGGTTGATCGCTTTTCTCAACTGTTTTGCTTAATATAACATTTCTAAAGATAGCTTTTATTGTGGTTCAATGGGAAAACGAGAATAGCGTGAGTGTTGTAAAAGAGAAGAAAGTCGTTGGCGCCGTGGAGTTAAAAGTAGGGACAACAGTTGACATATGGACCGGTACAAACAAGGGTCGAGTGGCCATCTGTAAAGCTACGATTTTGAAAGTTTGTGGTGAGTAAAAATTGCGATATTCGTTGTGATCAAAATCTTATAAAAGAATAGATGTAGCGGGTTGAATTAAGCTTACATAACGCTCGGCGCAACTGAAACTAGAATAATTCTGAGAATCGAATCGGTCACTTGCATGCCGCAGTTTCTTAAGCTTATGCTTTACAATGAAATAAACCTATCAGTAAGGTTTCAAGATTCCTCTAGTCACGTTTGGGAACATTCAAGATTCATAACAAACCTTAGTACATAAAGAAGCCCTCCTTGGTAAAAACAAAATAATGTATTCAGCCCTTTTTTAGTAAAATCCATGAGAGAGATGTACTAACTCCAATATAAAAGTCACTCAATATAACAGAGATTTCTCAATTTGAGAATCCAATGAATGCCCTTTTCCTCATAGCCATCTTAAAAGCCTGGTCTGAGCTTTAAACATACATATTTTAATATATTATTTTGTTTTCAAATTCAGATGTCAAGGAATCCAGTTACAAAATGGTCAAGGTTCTTGTTGACAACCTCATTCAAGGCCAACTCATTGTGAGTCCAGGAAAAAAAATACAAACAGTACAAACAGCAGCTAAGTTTGCAGTTTAGGATAACTTCATTCTAATTTATTGTTACAGTTATAACAAGATTTTAATCAAAAAATCAATTTTATTTGCTTGTAGTTGGTTAATGAAAGGTATGACAATGAAATAGCATAATTCAGACCTTTTCTTTTCGAAGTCGCACAAGCAGGCGGCATTTGAACAGCAACTTGGTTTTTGTGTTCCAAAGTATTCTTGGCAAAACGAACAGTAATTATGAAGTTCCAGAGGACTCTTCAATTTCCCGAAAAACTCACAGAGTAACTTTGTCGATTTCGCGCACTGGTTTGGTAAAAGGCAATGCAGCTCAATCAAAGTGAGCAAATCAGCAAGAGCGACCCCGGAGAGAGCATGCCTCACGCAGAACGTGACCACTAGCAGCATGCTTATGCCAAGTGAAGGACGACTTCCAGGATAGAGAGGTCGGTTAGAATTATCATCAGATGATTCACTGTCGTTGTCGCTCTCTTCATCGGTATTCTTCTCATCAGTTTCCTCCTCACCCACAGGCGGCCCAAGCTCCAGCTGTGAGATGATCATCTTGCGCAATAACAGTCATGGCGGAATTATAAGAGTTTGTATGGGAATATTTACGACCGCTCTAAGGAATAAAAAAATACGTCAAATTCTCAAAAAAAAATACCTCACCTTACTTCCACAGCGTATTTCTTGTTATCTGACCGCTTACTTTGATGAAAAGAGCCCATTTGAGCGAGTTGTTCATTTCGAGGTTTTCAACGTACATAAGAAAAGCCCAAACTGCGGCTTAGTGTCGGTTGCACGGGGAAGATTGAGTTTTTAGTGAATTGAAATGAAACTACAGTGTATGTGCTTGGATTCTGCGTTGGATTTGTGGCCGCCCGGTCATTTTGAGCTTGGATTTTTCGCTTCTCGGCTCAGGCGTTCGGAAATGGAGTGTTCAGCCTTGGGCTTTTCTTATGTACGTTGAAAACCTCGAAATGAACAACTCGCTTAAATGGGCTCTGTTCATCAAATTAAGCGATCAGATAACAAGTGATACACTGTGGAAGTAAGGTGAAGTATTTTTATTTGAGAATTTGACGTATTTTTTTATTCCTTAGAGCGGTCGTAAATATTCCCATACAAACTCTTATAATTCCGCCATGACTGTTATTGCGCAAGATGATCATCTCACAGCTGGAGCTTGGGCCGCCTGTGCCTCACCTAACATTTCAAGGTAAAATTTCCGCACAGCCCCATACTATTGTAAAACAAATCTGTTTTCCCAATGGCAATCTATTGTTTTTGTCATTGTTTTCTCTATCCAAGAACTGAATGCATAATGTAGTATGGGGCTGTGCGGAAATTTTACCCATTTCAACAACATCTGGAAAATCGTCCGCATAAGAAATATCACGATCGTCTTCCCTGACAAAATCAGTAAATAGAGCTGGATCGTCACTCATCGACATCAGCCCTTCGACTCTTTCAGTCTCAAATTCGTCACCACTGTTGGAAAAACTGTTAACTTCCATTTTTGCATTAAAATAGTTCGGTTCAGGCGACTGAAATCGTCCGGAGAGAAAGACGACGTTGAGATACCGGGAACTGCTTCATTCCTTTGACAACTCGGACTGGGCCTTTTTGTTAAGCTACTTTCTTCTGGACAGCTCTTCTCTCTCTCCCTCATTAATTTAGCTTTCTTTTCCCATCTATATTTTGTAGTTCTCGGAACATTACGCGTGGAAGAATCGGACAAATATTGCAAATATGGACCTCTGACTTTCTCACTGTTGTCCACCATACTCGCTCAATACGATCGCTGACCTGAATAATCCCAGTGACATGAATGACCCACAATGCCCCTTATTGGAGGATCAAGGTTTGTGACCTTTTGTGTTAACTCTGAATTACCATTCTTTGTTAAAATCAGTGAATTAATCAAAGCACGTCGGAATGTGTTTGCATAAATTATCAAGCTTACATCGTTAGGGTAGATTGAAATTCGCTATTTGCCCTTCGAAAAGGATTTTTATCACTTAAATTCAATAACTTATAACTGTTAATCCTTGGGTTCATAACTTCGCCGTGAATTAAAGCGATCAGAGCATAGCGATTGTGCGTTCACCAGTTGATTCTGTCTTAATTCGATTTGTTGTGAAACATATTCCAGAAACAGATTGCAGGTCTTTTGAAATCGATTGTTCCGGCCCAAAATATCTTTCAAATTATATTCACAATGCGAAAATGAAATATATTTAGCTTTCTTGTGGTTGATTTGCAATTTGAAATGTCTATTCATAATTTTCGCGCTCATTTTCGAATTCAGGCCACGTGTGCACACCGCGGGTGATTTAAATAGAGATCGAGACCCCCAACATGATCTCGAGACCGAAATTACGATTATCGTTATTTCTAAATTGGCACCAAATTTATGGATATAGTAATTTCGTGGCACTCTTTACCAATGCTCTTTACACGTGTTAAATAAAGAGAAGGACTCGGTTCCACTGTCTTACAACATTCAAGATGGCGGAGGAAAGGGGTAAATGTGCGTTCAGTTGTGATGGGTTATTTTGTGAAGTCTTAACTTCATTCGCTACCGTAACTCTTATTTCGCTAATTTAGAATCAGTCTTTTCCTCGACCCTTTGTAAGCTGTAGTCTCATTAAGAATAAAACATTATCGTTTGTCTCACGATGTTGTCACATATGATGTGAATCGCGACGTTTCGACTGCATACTGCTTGTCTTCATCAGTCTTACTCTCGTCTAATTGTTTATAGGGGTATACCGAAAACGAAAGCTGCCCTCGATGTCCGAGCTTCTTAGTAAAGGAAAAGGATTGTTGGGTTTGTCAAAGAATAAAGAGCGGAAAGCTCGGCAGTATGAATATGGTAGTGACCCCGTTTCAGGACTTCGTAATAATAAGGGAACATACTCTGGTCAGTCGAAAAGAAGACGAAAAGATACGAATTCTATCCTTGAAACCTCAGCTCATCATGAACGTGATGGTAAGCGTATTTTCTGGTGAATCATCATATTAGCTTACATTAATGAACATGCTACATCAACTTTTCCTCAGCTTGTTAGCTCTGAGTTGATCCCGTTTCTTCTTTATCTAAAGACCTTTCAGAGAATGCGAGCGCAAGTTATGGACATGAAAATGCGGATCAAACTACGTGCGCGTCCGGTACAGTAGGAGGTTTGTAATCATAAATATCAAGGTTGATGTTAATGTGCGCTTCTGTTATGTTCTCTGTGGTGGAGTTATTTGTGGAGTAATTCAAGTAACCTTTTAACCCCTTAGAGTGAGAAGCATCTAATTTCTCCCCACAATATCACCCCCAAATCACACATTAAGGTAATGAGATTAAAGGAAATGGTCACCAACTAGAGAAGCTCTGGATTATGAAACAAATTCTCCTCATTAGCACCTCAGGGAATGTATAGGGAACAGTATGGAGAATATGCATACCGATGTTAGGGTGGAAAGGGATAATGTCAGATTATTTACATGGTGGCTCATAAGTAAAGGTCTAGAGTACAAAAAAAATACAGTTGAGTCACTCAGTCCCACATTACTTTAGTCATACAAGGTCGGAGTTGTTGGGGCAAGGCAAGAGGCATTGAAACCTCCTTAAATCGGTAGGAGGGTGAAGAAATTTTGTGTAGGAGTCATACACCCTTTGGCATACGTTTTAATTTTTGTGCTGTTGGCATTAAAAACCTGATGAACTAATCATACATTTCCTTGAACCTGGATGGCCGGTGCTTTTGGCTTAACCCTTTAACCTCTAAGAGTGATTAGCACCTAATTTCTCCTTAACCTATCATCCTTGAAACACACATTTAGGTCACAAGAATAAATGATCATTAACTCAAGGAGGTCTTTATTGTTAAACAATTCTCCTTGTCAGCACCTAAGGAAATGTAAAGAGCATAGTGTGGAGAGTTTGCATACTGGTGTTAAGGTGTAAAGGGTTAAAGCTTGTTTTAGTTCAAAGTGTAAGAACATGATTTTACACTTTCTGTGATTTTGTTGTCATAATCATTGTTCTTGTTGATTGTATTAGACGCACTGTTACTACAACGTGGAAATGTTTTTGTCATTTTTGTAAAGGAGAAATGAAAGAATTCCTGTTGGAGACACAGGAGCTTTTGCAGAGGTTGCAAGAAAGCAACCCACCAAAGAGACAAAATTGGGCAGAAAGGCAGACACTCTTGACTGAAAGCTGGGAAGAGCAACGGTCAACAATATTTAAAGAATTACTGGAAGCCACTTATGCTGTTCCTGAAAATATCATGTGCAGCAGATGCTTAGATAAAGCTGCAGTTGTGAGATGTGACATGTGTTCCACCATACGACACTTGTGCCCTGAATGTGACCAGCAAGTTCATGAAAGCTGGCCATTTCATGACAGGGATGCCATAGTTAATGGACACTATTTCCCAATCCCTGCAACAACAACACGGAACAGTAATGGACAGTGGGAAATAGTTGGTAATCTTTCAGTTGTTTACAGTGTGCATTTATATATATATATATATATATATATATGCAGTTAGTTATATATAACAAATGCAGTTAGTTATATATATATATATATATATAGGAAGATTGTGTTTTGATTTTTCCATTGTAAAGTGCTTGGTATGTAGAAGTAGAGTGTGATATATATTGAGATGGGAAAAAAAGAGATTATACTTTCATTTCTACAAGCCTGTTTTATGCTTACTCACTCGATCATCAGAGGATTTTATAGCAAAATACCCTGATGAGTGGGCAAACAGTCTTGTGGGGATGAAAGTATAATCTCTTTGATTTTTCCCTATCTCATTATATACTCAATACATACTCAATATATATATATATGTAAAGTGTAAAATTTTGACTTTCGTAAAACAGTGCTCAATACATAGGAGTAGAGTGATGTACATATTGTGTGAGGAAAAAGACAAATACACTACAAGTTCATCCCTTGAATCGATGAACTTGTAGTTTATTTGCCTTTTTCCACCAACAATATATATATATATATACATATGCATATACATATATAGACATATATATTCACACACACACACATATACATACACATATATACATATATATATACATATATATATGTATATATATACATATATAAACATATATTTATATATGTATACAAACACATTAAGTGAGGCGGATTTCATCTCCTTCTTTTCTAGCGAGAAGTCTACCTCTTAGAGACCTTTGCTGTACTACATGTGGCGGAAACTGTGAACCAGACTGTATTCTACCTAATACTCACTGCATTGTTGTCTCCCTTCGAGGTATTGACTGATATGTATTTTCATGAGACATTCCTGTAATATTAATTGCATGGAATTTAAAGAAATATTTCTGCAATGAATATGTTTGTGATACAATGTGCAATAACCAGTTTGCCCTTCTCAACAGACTATATAATTGTACAGTATATATTTCCAAATTTCAGGTCGGTTTGATGTAAACCATAGAAGATATAAGTGCCTCCAGTGTGGGAAAATGCTTTGCACCTCAGAACCAGTTGTCATCATCCAGTCTGGCTTTTGGCCAGGGAGTATCAAAGATATGAGGTATGTCTTTGATAAGGAGCTTTTCTTATTCTGGGACATTCTTCAGAAGCAGCTCCCAGGAGTGTCTGAAGGTGCATTTCTCAAGTCACTTGAGCTCTTTTCAAAGCGGAAAGGACGTGTGAGTATCTTTATCACAGGACAGCCCTTTAACATCTAATTCTGGTTTGGAAGTTTGGTAAAGAGGAGAACAGCTTGTGGAAAATGTTGTCACTTTTAAACATATGATATTAATTAGCACTGCTAATACTATAAACAAATTTTCAAGTAAGACTTTCAAAGAGCATAACTTATGTTAGTATCATTAGTTTTATAACACCTCAGCATATTGATAGGTTCCACGATCATTGTTAAAATTTTCATCCCCATAAGTGAATAAAAGCCCTGTTGATGTAGAGAGTCATTGAGCCAAAGAAGTCTTAAGCAAACTTAACTTTATCACTTATTTTACTGTAGTATGTTGTAACAGAGGAAACGTGGATGTTTGTTTACTGTTTACAGGTTGCAACTGTTAATGCCACAGCTTTCAGAGTGTCATTTAAGGAGTGGAAATATTGTCAATTCGAACTCGATAAATTGCGGTGCATTGACTGGATGGAGTGCCCATCATGTAGCCAACATCAGCACTCTGTTCATGTTGATGGGAACATGAAACTTTACCGTTTTAAATCTGCAGGGATGTAATTTCTAGATATTAATTTCATAAGTGTTCTTTGTGCTAAATTTGAAACTCAAAGACAATTTCTTTCTGCGTAGGTTATGAGTTTCATTGTTAATCAACTGCAATATTTGGGTAGTTGGCTCATTCTACGGTCAACCTCAGTTGGAGTTGTGCAATGAAATCATCATTAGCAATAAGGTTTCAGTATTACCATCATTCTCAAGTTGTAAATCATCCTAACTTTTTTCAGAATTAATCTCTGAACAGTGTTTTATCAAAGCTTATGTGGTTAAAAAATACATATGTTTTTTGAGGGATCAATACTTATCAAAATTCACACATGATTGTAAAGTACTAGTAGGTAACACTACTGAAGAAACTTTTGAAGAAAGTTTGGACATAAGAAGAGCCTGTACCACTATCATACACTCATCTTAACACTGGAGTGCATGTAGAAGACTTGGTTATGTATTAGGTTATTGAAGAATACATATTTACATTTGTATTCAGAAGGAAAAGAGAGTGTTACTATGGAGAAACCTTTGTGGTCTCAAATGAGAAAGTTGATAGTCACATTCATAAGGTCTATCAAGGTTCAAAGCAAAGGGTAAGAGCATGTGTAATCATTAAGTGTTTTCTGGATTTAAAAGGGTACATGCAACATTCCTAGTTTCTGAGGCAATGTTTTGTGATACAACTTAAGACAAGGTACAATCAAAGATATTGTAGTTAACATGTGGAAATGATGATCATTGTCAATTCAGAAACATTCTATGGTTTGATTCAGTGTCCATTATTGTAAGGCAAAGACTTGTCAATATACTTAATTCTCTGCTCACAGAGCAATCAATGCTAAGGTAGTATCATGTAGCAATATTATTAGACTGCATCTCTTGAAACCTGCCTTTTGCTATTAAAACACTGGCAAACATTCCTATCAAGCATTAGGATGTTTAGACACATGTTACTAAATTACAACTTGTTGATTTTTCAACAAGCATCAGTTATCTATACACTGTACATGTGGATGTACATTATTTTTAATCCAGAAATCAGATGAGCAGGGAAAGTGTGGAGACTCAAACTGGCGAGCAGCAGGAAATACAGTTAAAAAAAGAAAGAATCTGGATGAGTGTGGTCTGGAGATTTCTGGATGTAGGCATGGCTTGGCGCAACATGCCATCAACATGATGTATGGGGAAGTTTATGGATATGCCCATTATCTCCAGGTGAACTACTACATTCCCAAGAATGTGGAGTTCTTCTGGTATGATGTCATCTGCAAGTACTGGCCATGGTTAAAAAAGAATGATCCAGAAACTTCCAAGAAAATGAGTCCGGCATTGTCAGTTATGCATGCAAAAGCTCATGATTGGTCTTGTCAGGTACTGGTATGATTATGTCCAATTTTGCTTGCATATGAATTCTTTTGCATGGATACAGTTTGGTTTTGTTTCAATCATGAAATTTTTTATGTGTTCTGATGGCATTCCATGTATATCAATAAGTGTAATTTTCACGTAGGTCTTGTGGGGTGGTCGTTGGCAGAGTGGGGCAGCTGCAACTACTGGGGAGGAGGTTGAGCACATCAATAGCCATTTCTCAAGATTAGGCTCTTCCACAAAGCATATGCTTCCTGAAGGTACATCACCCAATTTTCCATCCACAAAATGGTGTCAACAGCTAGAGGATGCTAAATGTATGTTCTGTTACAAACTCCTATAAGCAAAGGTACAAGGTGACACACCACAAGGTTTATTCCCAGTGCAATTTACTACCCTGTATCCAAGGAACCAAAACAGCATAATAACAGCAATTTTGAAAAAAGTTGAAAATGCTGTATTGGCTAAGGTTTCATATAAAAATGTTTCATAAATGGTTAGAACTTGGAATGGTTGTATTGTAGCCGATTAGTCTGAAGTTTTCTTTTCATTTTCAATCTTACAGGTAGGGAGGAACTGCTCACTGAACATTCTTTTCATTGGAACAGACGGAAAATTGAGAGACTTCCTGGCTCACTTGCAAAACGATACGCAACGGTATAAAGTGCATTTCATTTGCTATAAAGATATTAGTGTTGTGTTTGTTCTTCCACTCATTTGGTTCTTGGTTATGAAATAGGGAAAACAATGACAGTCTATAATTGTCAATTTCGACTTGTGACCCTTCTGCTTCTCTGGTTTCAGGCAGAGAATCAGCTCAAGCAGGTGAACAAAGAGATAGAAGAGCTGTTGAAAAATCCTCAAATGAATCAAACAGATGTGTGCCTAGAAAGTTGGAAATCCGATGTTTTTCAGGCCGCAAAAGGTCAGTTATACACTACTGATATAATTTACCAATTTTTTTCTATGTTTATCACTGATCTGATTGTTGCTGAATTTACCTGCATGACATTCTGAAAATATTTTTCCATCCCAGGAAATTTTGCTAAGACAGTTTGGCTTCTGGACAATTCTTCAAATAGTTAAAAAAAGATGGTGGCAAGCATAACCATATGATGTTTGCATCTCTTATGTCCCTTTAAGCCTATTGCCTCTCAAAACAGAGGAGAAATGGAGAATAAACACCGTTCATAAATGTAGATCTATGCATAATTTGGTGTACCCTAACTGCTTGTAATATGTAACAGGTTTTTAACAGTTTTTGTTTGTTTGTCTATTTTCAAATTTGATTAGAGGACGAAGCTTCCTACCTTAAAAAGCCTCAACTATCTGACGAGGAGGAGCTATATCTATGTCATTTGCTGACATTGCAAAACTGCACCCCCAGACAAAAGTTGCTTCTTGAAACTGCCGATCACCTCTTTGGGAAGAAGTTCCGAGAGCTTGAAGCTAAACCTTGTGACAATGTCAGTGCTGGTGAGGTCGTGTTAATTGAAAAGGGGGCTGCGTATTTCCAGAAGCAAATGGAGCATTTCCACCTCTCAATTACTCAGTTGGCATTTAATATGGGAAAGCTGGCAGGTAACTTTTGTTTCAGTATAAAGATTGTTAGATCTAAACTCTCCCATGAAATGCCTCAGTATTTGTAGTTTGCTCAATGTGAGTGCCCTTTATCCTGTTAATGAAATTATTCGCTGTAAGACTTTTTCAATGGTATGTTTTTTTCTGTAGATGGATCAAAGCAACGTCAAAGGCTACGTACAAAAATATCGGCAGAGAAGATAAAGCTGGAGCAAGTAATTGCTAAGTACAATCGACTTTCAGCCACTGACTCTGTCCAACTGCACGAGATAGAGAATGGCAAATTTCCTTGGAAAGCCGACATAGGTACACCGTTTTTCACAGGTGTACCTATCCGTACCAAACGGTTGGTTGTAGACAAACAGATGGAAGCATCCAGGTTTCACGAGGAAATAGAACTTCTCCAAAAGGAAATGATACGATTCATGAAGTTCTACAAGAACAGTCTTTTACCATACTTGTTCAAAGAACAGGAGCAACTGCAGGAATTGTTAAAAGGTATTTTTATCGCCTATTTGACAGGTCTGGTACCTTTGTGATCACTTTTTGCCCAATAGTTGACAGAACTGGATGAGTAGATGTAAATAGTCCGATTGTACCACGATCACATTCGAGTTCTAACCAATCACACATCCAATTAGACAGCTGTGTAAAGTTTCTCATGTTTGTTTTATCGACCTATCTACTCTAAAGCCAATGCACGCCCAATCTTTCGGTGGGTCCGTCAGTCACTAATTGCCATAGTTCACAAGATGTTGTTCTCCTGGCGTGTAAGTCATAATCAGTAAAGTGACAAATTTTTAGGGCCCTCAGCGTACATTTACATTGACCAGAGAAGTCATAGCTGCACCTTGTTATGTCGATTCTTTGGAGTTAGTAGACGCTACTTTTTTGTTTCATACAGTATGTATGAAAGATGGCAATGAAGGAGTGGGTATTGAACTGGAAAGATCTTCGGAGGAGATTTCGGTAAGTGGCGAGATATATTAAGGTTCACAGTACAACCAGGTGGACAATCGGACATGGTTGCCTGGTTGTAACAGGTCCATGCATTCAAGTGTATTTCTAATGTGCGATATTTCTACTGAACTAATATACTGTTTATTTGTTAAATAAGAGAGTTGGGTTTTTCAGATAATATTCGCAAATGTCACTTGTGTTATACTTTGTGTATCCCACAAATATGTAGAGTCGTCGGTACGCCACCGCATCAACCAAGAAGCAGGTGATAATGGCAAAACTTGCCCTAATCAAGGAGGGTATGAATTTCGCTACGAAACAAATCGCCGCTGGGATAAGTGCGTTTGCTCCTGTGTTAACTGAAGAGCTACATGTCTTTCGTAACTTTCTCCTTACGCACGAAGTAGAAGAGGAGGAAGACGCTGACGACGAAGAAAGCTTGAACGGTGATGGAGATGGAGATGAAAATGACAACATCATTGAGTTTCTCGGTGGTAATGCCAGTGACTTGGCAGTTGGTGGCGCAACTGGAAATGCTATCCTTCAGGCACTTAGTACTTTAAGTGTACCGGTGTTGGATCCAGTATTCCCAGAGGTTCTAGCTCCGGGTGTGTCTTGCTGGAAATTCCCAAAAGAAATAAGTCAAGGTTTCTACAAAGGCAGAAACGGAAGTAATGCCTGTAGCCTAATTAGTATCCTTTTAGGATATGCTCTAAGTTTCCAAAAAGTTCCGCCCCCGGAGTGCCAATCATGTATTGCAAGTGCCATCGTAGAGGTAGTGTGTGGTTGTATCGAAATTGGCAACCGAGTTTACAATTTCTGTCGGGAGAGTTTACCTTCAAGATACCTCTCAATCCAAGAGGCTGCTAGTGTGCTAGAGATGTGGTGCACGATGGATGTTGGTGACAATTTACCTGTGCGTTTAAAAGACCACCACGTGATGTCTACTGTCTCTGGTCAGTTAAAGGAGGCCATTTCGTCGTGCAATGCGTTCACAGCGTTTCTTATTCTTAATGACAAAACTTCTTTGTTTTATTTCACCGATAGTATCGTAATGTATATTGACACTCACTGCCATGGCCCAAGTGGTGCCGTGGTACTCACAGCCGAGGAAAAGGAACTTGACTCGTTCTGTACCAATGTATGGGAACTAGAAAGCAACGACGAGACTACTTACGGAAACTTGATATTTGTTGATTTTTGAGACTGTATTTGAGAAAGGATAGAGGAGCTCCAGCAGTACAAAGTGCCGCGGAAGGAAGCAGAGGACCATGTAGATAAGGATAGCACTGGGGAACTTAAGCGTATCAGTTTTTTTTCCATGTGTGGCCAGTGGTAACATCACTGAACTCAAATTGAAATCTCTTTTGTTACCAAACGACATTCTTAGGTACTTAAAGCATAATTTTAAACATGGATTCTTACCATATCCTTCGAACAGTTTTTTTTCTATAAGTCATACTCAAAATAAAAACAATGTACCTTGGTGAATTAAATTTATCTTGCTATGTATCCTCTGCGAAAATGTAAAGACTAAAGCAAGCGTAACTGGGCTTGTGTTCGTCAGTTGTCTGCGAGAAGAATCTAGCTTTCTATCTTTAGCAAATATTAAATTGGTCTGTTACTTACTCAGCGTGTGCTTCGTGATTGTATACATACCATTTCGCTGATAATTGAAAAGTAGGATCCAAAACGGACAGTAGGGAAAATAATCTATCAGTTGATCTACTAAACCTGCGAAATCCTCCTCAATTCCAATATGCTGATGAGTGAATAATAGGTTCTACAACGGACAATTTGGAAGAGTTTGAGTTCGCGAAATCAATGCCATTTTAATAATAAATGAAATATGTCCCAAAACGGACAATACGAAAAATAATCTATTAGTTGATGTCCTGAACTCGCGTCAAAATAATTTACAAGCATAGTTGCAAACCGCATAGCTGATCTAGTAAATCTCGATAATTTCCTTTTAATTTCAAAAGATAAAAATGTCGTCTGTAAAAAATAGTCTATTCCACGGTTGCAGCAAGGACGTAATCAATTCGAACTCGTATCTGAAATGGAAATCGTGGTAAGTATTGTTGCTGGATATCCGTTTTAATATTTTCACGCATGGAAATGGACAATTTAAATCCAAATGTACAAATTATTTTTCTTTGAATTGTTACTTTTCCTTTGCTTCTGTGCTAGACAGACGGAAATTTTCATTCTTCATTATTAGGGTTTTGTTTCACTACGATTTTGAAGCAGATAACCTCGCAGACGCCAGCGAAATCCTGAGTCATGCAAGCGTAGAAAAAGAAAATTTTCTGTGCCACCTTAATTCAGTTACGCTTGGAAAAATCGTTAACGACATTTGGGGAGAAAAGGTAAAAAGGGTTCGGCGTGGACCACGTACGCAGCGGAAAGCTTTCTACCAAAACCTCAAGATTAGAGAGATAATCGCATCGCCACCAGAAACGTTTAGCCACTTCATGGAAAAAGTCAACGGTCTCAAATTTAAAGATGGATGGAGTACCGTTTGCGGGAACAACAAGCTGTCCTTTGTTCGTCTCGAATCGTGGTCATTCAAAATTTTGGAATTTGTGGATAGCTCAGCACTATGTTCTGGCGTGGACATTAATGAAACTACAAGCGCTTCAATGTCTACCCATGTTAGTGGAGAATACAGGCAGAATGACAATGTCCTCTTCAAGGTATTTTCCAAGCATTGTCACATCATCCAGTGCAGTGATGGCATTAGTTGTGCCAATTGCAGAAAAATAAAACGAATGGATGACAAATCAAAGAAAAGGAAGTTATCTAGGGATGCAGTTCATCCCTTTACCAACAAAAGATACATGACAAGGGATGAGCTAACTGAAAAGTTGACTGAAGAAGTGAAGGCACGTAAAAACACTGCTCTGAGGGAAAGCTACTGGAGAGAGAAGTATTTCTCGCAATGTGTGGAAATGGAAAAAGAGGACCATAAGGATCTTTGCAAGATTTTTGCTGATGCAAAAAATGTACCCGAGGAGATGGCTGACCTTTGGAAACAACAAGAGAAAATTCTGCAGACAGGAAGCAAAAATGGTTTTAGGTGGCATCCAAAGTAAGTGATTAGGTTTTATTGACATGGCCTCTAATATCCTTACTAAGAAATCTAATGGCTAGTTTCTATGGCTAGAAACATAATATGATATGATACTTACTTGAAATTCCAAGAAATAATCTAATTATAATATTCCAACTTTAAAATTTCTTCTGAAAAATGAAATTACATTTAAGTTACATTTTTGATTGGTCTAGTGTGTCTGTACGTATTCACAATCTTTAAGTATTGGCTTTGTACCAAACAGACAATATATTTTTTATGATGTTTATAGGGTCATGCGATTATGCCTTGAACTGTACTGCAAAAACCCCCATGTGTTGGACCCACTCCGCCAGTTTTTGACTCTTCCCAGCAACAAAACAATAAGGTGAGTAAGTATATACAAATATGGTTCTTCAGCCTACCAAATGATTACTTAAAATAGAGCAAAATATTAAAAAGCATTTCTTTATGAAATCTCTGTACATTCTGTGATACCTAACTGCACAGAGGAACACAGTCTGCCTTCACTCCTGGTCGAGACAAATAATTTTAATAATACAGTTGCAAATTTGGATAAGCTATTGAAACAAGAAACCAAACTGTTCAATGATCCATTTACAGGCTGTACAAAAACAAAGTTAAAGAGAGACCTGGGTGGTCTGGAGATGTCATTAGATGGTGCTTTTGAAAAAGAGAGGGGGATGAAACAAGAAGATTTTATGGGTGGTTTTATTATTGACGAAATGAAGATTCAGGTAAATTTAAAATGTCAAAAGTAGAAAAAGATAACCGATTGATGTACTAGGAAAATTTTTTTTAAAAAAAGAAAGCATTTTCAATTCATTTGTAATAATGTATATTAAAAAACTAAACTTCATTGTCAATGTGAGACATCCCTTAGATGCTATGTTTTGTCTGAAACTATACTAAAGACGTGTTCTAATATTAGAGTTCATAATTTAATTGATGCCCTCTATTGTAGGAGAACCTGGAGATGTCAACAGTTGGTGGTAAGCACAAGCTTGTTGGATTTGTTGACCTGGGAAAGGGCCATGAGCTAATGAATATATTGTCAGGTAATTTACATGAAAATGCATATATCAATTTACAGTAGTATAAGCAGTTCAAACGAATTACAGATATATGCTGTTCCTCTCTTACTGCTGTAAAAATTGTAAAACAGCTAAGACTTGCTTAAAAACAAAACAAATATATGCCACCTCCTTCCAGGTAAAGGTGATGAACCAGAACTTGCCACACAAGTGCTGCAATTCATTTATGTCAGTGACAATGGATTCAGGTTCCCTATTGCTCAATATCCATCTGGGGTTTGCACACCAAGTAGCTTGTACTTCTGTTTTTGGGAAGGAGTCCTGAAGATGTTGGAGATTGGATTTGAGTGAGTAATCAGAAAAGAAAAGTTAAAGTGAAATAGTTTTGCAAGGAAAGTGACAGCCATTAATTGTTTGAATTGCACAGCTTGTGAATTAGATGCTAAAAGTTTAATAATATTATTGGTACCACTACATTTTGCCTTGATTAATATGCCAAAGTACCATGCTGTATGAGTATCACATTAACAAGTTGCCATTTACATTAAGCTTTGTTTTAGGAGGAAAACAATATGTTAAGTAAGAGAGTTTACATATTACTTACAAACTGATTTGCCATGTAATTTACTGACTCAAATGAATTATGGAAGTTGTGAACCTACGATCCAAGAATAGTAAAGATATGCCAAATTAAAACATTTCATGAATGTTATACTTAATACAGTTATCTTTACATTATTGTTTGTCTCAGCTTATATTTTTTATTATTTTGTCTTCTCAAAGGGTGTATTGGTGTGTCCTTGATGGTGCTGACTGGAGCAGGCAGTTTGTAAAGATGCACTTTCATGACAAAAACCCTGCTAAACAAAAATTTGCAGCCACAAACATCTACACTGGTGGTCCAATGATGTTTATCATGGACCCAAAGGTAATAGACAATACTTCTATGACATGTATGTATATAAGCCCAATATTTTCAATTTGGTACCTGTTATTCAGATATTACTGTACGAGTAAAAAAAAAAATCATGAATACCTTGATTTGATTCTGACAGGTTAGTAAGTGTACTGACCAATCATAAATTATAAAGTTCAGGACATGCAAAGAAACTACAAAATCACAAACTAATTTCCATTGCTGTTTGCAGTTTAGTTTTTTCATTCCTAATTGACTTTTTCCTTGCAACACAATACCATTCCATATATATTCACGGTGTTCATGGTTTTCTGAGTTTCACAGTGAGCAATTAACAAAAATATTCTCTTTAAGCAATTTTCAATGATATTGAGCCAATAATATTTTCATGTCAAGCCAATTGCTTTTTTTAGGTAATTGACAGTATCTAAAACACTCTCAAGAGCAGGTTTGCCTGAGGCTTGCCTATAGTGTTTATTATAGAATATTGTCAGTCAATTACCTGATATCAATTGAAAATGAATATGAAGCTATAAGTGTTACTGACTTTGACCAATTTGTAATTGAACAGCACAATATCAAGAAGATACGAAACAACATTGAAAAAAGTAATAAGAGTGGCAAGCCAAGATGTCTTCAGATCCATGGAAAGGAGATCACATGGACTCAGTTCAAAAGTGCTTTTAACTGGGATCAGAAGACCTTCTCTCTCTCATTGCATGAGAAACTAACCATGCAGCATTTTGACCTTGATTCTGCCAGCAAAATGTGGAACAGACCTGCAGAAGATGTACTTGATACAAAGATGCTGTTTCTCATGCAGGTAATTGTTTTGTTTACATATAGTTAAGTCACTTCTCATTTGATTAACTCAAAAATAATCAACTCCAAGTTTTAATGTTGTCAAAATGAAAGTTCATTGGAAAATTGTATCTACAAGGCTCTGCATAATTGCCAAAAAAAAAACAACAATAACAACATAATTTACTTTACTTACATTTCCCTTTTCAAAATATATTTTCCTCTGCATTTTATAACTTTTGTATTACTTTTCATATTAATTTCTCTTCTTTTCTAGTATCTTGATTTTCAACATTGTAGCTTACATCTGTGAACTTGTATCTATACAGAAATATAAGGAAAGTATAAAGTCAAGCGGAGAGGATGACTCCTCATTTGATGCAGTAATCAGCCTGTTAGAACACACAAGTAAGCTGGTCTCACTTTTCAATGACAGGCTCTACATCACCTGCACTAATGACATAAGGCTTCAAAAGCTAAATAATTTCTATAATTGGATGTGCTCATGGGAAGAAAGCACTCAAGGAGATGGCAAGCTATTCATCTCAAGTAAATTATGGTTTGATTTAAAATCAATGTGTCTTGGATTCCAGTCACTAGTACATTACAAATTGTTAAAGCATCCTAGTTCAGTAATCAAGCCTGCCATAGTAAATCAGGACTGTGTAGAGAACCATTTCTGTCAAATACGTTCTTGTAATGGTCAAAATGATAACCCAACCTTCTTGGAGCAACAGTCTTCACAAAATTCAATTAGACTAGGTCAAACTACTATTAGTCCTAAGAGTAATGCCTCCTGTAGTAGTGCCTTTACAAGCCAGCGACCTTCAATTCCAAGCTCACATCAAAGTTTATCATGCAGTTAAATACAATGTATTTTCATCTTATAATATTCACATGCCACATTTATGGTTAAAATAGGCAAGTATGTGAACTTACTGTTTTCCTTGGAAGTCAATGTTAGAGTTTGTATGGGAATGTATGTGTTATTGTATATATATCCACACTTCTCAGTTGATAATCATGAAAGATATTCAAATATGAAATTACTGTGCTTAAAAATATGAAATTCTTTGACTTTTAACACTGTATTGTACTGTGTTACAGAACTGTTTCCTATTTAAATAGTAGGAATGGTTTGAAAGTTTTTGCACAAGCATGAATTGTACCCTTAAGTGTCCATTCAAAATATATAGCTTACCTCTTTGAAAGAGTATCCTGATGTGTCCTTCAGACTCAGAGTTTCTCACTATCCTAAACTGCCTGTCATCAACTGGTATTGTATTTGGAATAAATGCATGTTCTGGAATAACATTTAACAAATCTTGTGCAATAACTAACTTAGTTGATCTTGAAGAAGTTCTGACACCATATGCCTGACACAAAGCAATCAGTTGCGATTTAAGGTAGACTCTACTCAGTGGGGCAGTGCCTTGATGTTGGTGAATGAAGCCAACCAATCGGCTGTAGGAGGCCCTTTTGTTTTCACTCCTGTCTTTGAGGATTTCCTGATGTGGAAAAACAATTAAATGTACTGTACTTATTTAAATTTACTATCATGTTAATTGTTATCTATTGAAACCTACATGGAATTTTAGCAAATTATGTGAAGTTATATCAACTATTATTATTGCTGTAATATCTATGCTGTATACATTACATGTAAGGAATAAACGCGTAAAGTACAGTATATATATGCCACTGTATGTACTTAAGCGAGCCCTTTATTCTAGTGTTTAGCTTATCTTATTAGCACTTATGCATTCTAAAGGGACAATAAAATGCCAGCAATTCCAGCTACCTTGAATGGAACACTGTCAGATTTCTCCTTCGTTTCTTCCTGTCTTTGCAAAATGCGTTTTCGCAGCTCCGCGTTCTTCTTAATCAAGGCACCACGGCGGAAATCTCTCAAGAATTGGGATGCATCCATGTTGACATAACATACCAAAATCTCTTTCCGCAGATTTTCGATTAAATCCTGTGTGGAAGAGAGATACTTCAGCTTAAGTTGAAGCCTACCACCGTAGCTTTAAATGCTTTCCACACGGAAGGGGAGAGAATTCCTTGCTAGTAACCCACTGATAAGACACAATGCTTCGAAAATATAAGCTGGATATTTCTAGTGGTGAGCGAAAGAAACGAGAATACTACGTAACTGAGTTATATATAAGCTTTGGTTATGAATTAACACTATGATTTTGCGCCAAAATTAACGAGCATTTTGTAACCCATGGTACTAATAAGGCATATATTACATACCTCGCTCCTGTCAACCTCTTCACTTTGAAAACATCGCATCCAACTTTTTTTAAGTTCTTCGTCACTTGAAAGTCTACATATGGCCGCCTCAACCATATTCTCGCGCTCTTTTCTCATGACATTAACGTTCAGTAAGTCTACTCGCCTTTGCTCCAGCTGCATGAAGAAGAGATAAGCCTCATCCGATATATGGAGAAGGCCCCTTTGCAGATACTGCCTTGCCTCCGTTACTTCCAGCGTCTCTTTAAATTTCGACGTTTCTTGTAGTCGGTCGAAAGATTGAATAACGTTTTCTTCCAGAACCTCACATGCCCTTTGCTTTGTTTCAACTTTGACCAGCGTAGAGCTCGAAGTCGTGTAGACGTTTTCCGTAAGGTAGGTTCTAGCCCGGGAGAGGACTTTCCTGACCGCCCAACCATCCACATGTCGAACTTTTGACCTGCCAACCATCTCTTGAACGTTGAAAGCCACTCCTATCTTTCCTATCGTGTCTCACGATGGAAGCCAGTGTTTCTAGAAATTCGAAGTAGATAAACTTCACAATCTCAACAACGACAGTCCGCTGGAAAATTGTCGTCTCTTTGACGGCGAAGACAATGCATACATAGCGGGAGAATTCAGTGCTGGTAAGGAATTCATGCAGTCTCGACGTCGCCTCTGTAAATCCTTGCCTTTCGATATTAACGACAATCTCGTCTGGATTTTCTACAACGTGGTTTTCGATGATGAGAAATGAATGAAACCATATCAATTCAACAAGGCATTGAACCTTGAGCCAACAGGTGTCGGTTAACAGAGAGTCGAGTGTTCTGTATTTTTATTACAAAAACGGAGAAGCAATTGAAGTCGGCGAGGCTTTCAACGCTAACAGGTGAACTCGGCTTTTAATGAGAAATCCTTCTGGCGGACTCGCTAGACTTGACTGATGCCTCATCATGCGGTCGTAAACATCCAACATCCAATAACTCCAGTGGGGCTGCAACCTCTTCGTCCTCAAAGCATTGCCGCACAGGACCATCGAACAAATCACTCGGGAAAGTGAACGGTTCGTCGTCTTCCTCGCACGCGTCGAAGCGATCCTTTACTGAAATGAGGTTGTTATCTTCAAAGCTCCTTTTGCAGCAGCATGATAGGTCTGCAAGTGGTTCACATATATGATGGGTTGTGCACATGTCAACCGCCCTTTGGTGTGGCCTCAACAACTGCCGTGGACTGAAATTCAAAATATGTATGGTATCTGGGGACTTAACTCTTAAGACGGCGACATAGATTAGTCCAGGCACGTACTCACGAGAACAATGTACAACTGCCGAGGCAAGCGTCAAACCTTGCGACTTATGACACGCAACTGCATAGGCTAATACAATGGGGAATTGGGTCACGCCTCCGATTTTTTGGCCATTCCTGTTTCTTCTTATCCAAGTTTCCCTT